CGTCCGTCCGTCCGTCCCACTGTCCTCAGTCAGCCTGGAAGTCCCTGGCAGCGTCCGGAACCCAGCCTCTTCCTCCCAGCTCCAGCTGGCTCTTGTCTCCTCTGGCCTTCCACCTCACCTGACCCCTCACCCCCTCCCAAAGCAGCAGTCTAGGCCAGGGCATCACTGGGGAGGCTGAGACTGGAGCCAGAAAGAAAGGAAAAAGTTTCCTGTGGTGGAAGCTTCAGGGCCCCCAGCCCAGGCCTAGCTGTGCCCTGCACTCGGGCCTCGAGGGAGCAGAGCACACGCAGCCTCCCTTCCACGTCATTCAGCCAGCACACACCTGTCTGACCCTGCCACTGGCTCCCCAGCGCTTCCAGCACAGCCTGTGGGCCCCTTAGCACCCACAGGACGCCTGGGTCTGCTCCCCCGGCAGCCCACACACGGGCCAGGCAGCTATTCAAGCTTCCTGCCGGGCCTCCAATGGGTTCTTGGCCTTTTCACCTTCTCTTCCTCTCAGCCAGCTCAAGCAGCTTAGAGCCTTTCAGGATCCCCTACCTCAGACTACGTGGGAGCCCTTTTGTGTCTTTTTGTACATTGTTTGTTGGTGTTGTTTAGTCCTTTTCAGTTTATGACTTTTTAGTGACTCTTCATGACCCCATTTTCTTGGCAAAGATACTGGAGTGGTTTGCCATTTCCTTCTCCTACTCATTTTACAGATGAGGAAGCTGAGGCAAACAGGTCAAGTGACTTGCCCAGGGTCACAGAGCTTGCAAGTGTCTGAGGGCAGATTGGAACCCAGGAAGCTGAGTTTTCCTGGCTCCGGGCCCAGAGCTCTATTCACTGGGCCGCCTTGCTGCTCCTTGGAATTAGGATTAGGATTAGGATTTGGGCAATAACCTAACGTGTGTGGTAGGGACTCGATTTGTTGAGGGTGTAGTGAAACACTCCCCCTGGCATCACTCTTCCCACTCCCATTAGCCAATCATGTTCCTTTCTTGACTCAATCACAGAAGTCCATGTCACATAAAAAACAACAACACAGACTCGACCATTACATTTCTACATTCACGTGTCCTCACACCCTTACCCTGACCACATCATTCATGTTCATGAGGGCAGATGTATGGAGCACCTCCTTCCATAAGGCAAAAATGTCCGGCAGGTATGGAGATGATGGAAATCCCTCAAGATGATTCCAGCAGGCCCAGGTTGGGTTTCTTCCTCCCTTCCTCTTTTGTCTTTGGGTGCTGTAGTGTACGCTTCAGTTACAACCTGGCTTCTGGGTCTGCCTCTAAGGCTCTTTGCCCAAGTGCTCTCCTCCATGTTACCCTCCTCTCATTTCTCCCAGAGTTCTCAGTTGTAACCGAATCTGTGCTCTTATTGATCTTGGCAGCTTCTTTCACCAATGTATTGCCTTGGTCACATGGCCAGGCTTTGTCAGGCACAGCTTAAAAGTGGGGCCCTAGACTGTCTCAGGCTGGTTCACTCCCCTGCTTGCTGTCTTACAGGAATGTCTTTGTTCCCCATACTTTGTGCATGTCTGCACTGACAACCAACACCATGCATTGCATTGCTCATTCCTTGGCTTTTGTGCATTGTCTAGAAATTGCTGGGTGTCTCACTATTCTTCTTTTTGCATCATGGAGACTCCCTATGGGGGATATACAAAGGCAGTCTGCTTCCTCCTCACTCACTTTCTGTTTAAAGCCTATTTGATTAGATGTGTAAGCCTCCAGGCAAGTCCATTTTGAGCAGTCCTTGGGACTTCACCAGCTTCCCAAATCTCCTTTTCTCTCTTGAATCCCTTGCCTTCAATGGCCGTAGTGATCAAAATACATCCCGACACCCCTAAGGTATTCATCTTCTTGCCTCAGACTGTGCAGTCTTTACCAATTTTGTGTTGGTTTCTTGTGCGCCCAAGGGAACCACCTGAGGTAGGTAGTAATCATCTACTTTTGACAAGTCTTCAGAAACCATGTGTTGTCATCTATGCCCAGGAAAGACAACAGCCCCCCCCCCCCCCCCAATCAGTGTCAGGTCTACAAATGAAGACCCTTAAGCAATTGTGACCAGCCCATCATCTTTGAACGCTGACACTGGATAAGCTGCCCCCTGATGGTTTGGGTAGCTCAGCTAGAGGGTTCCTTGGGGGAATCAGCAGCTGCTTCCTTCCTTTTGGGGAAGAGACCCGCCCATGTTTAGTTCTTAACTCCGGGTTCCCAGTATCTTTTGCTCCCTCCCTCCTCTGTGTGATATTATTCCACCCTGCAGCCTTCATACAGAACCCAGCTTCCCCCACGCCAACCTCTACATAGCTTTTGTCTTCTTCAAACCTTTCTCGGGATTTCTTAAAGAAGCACTTCCCAGAAAATCTGGTGTGTGCAGACTGGTGCCTGCCCTGGAACTCCAGTATCGTCTTCTAATGAGGAAACCAGGCCACACTTTGAGTATTATAGATCGTAGTCGTTTGGCAAATCTCAACCACTCAATACACGTCACTGCCAAACTGATCTTGGTCTCTGTACCTGCTCAAAGTAAGCTTTTCAGTCCTTGCCCGCTTTGCTGTTGTGGCCAACTGATTGTGGATTAGTTCCAAAGCTAAGAGGCTCCTCACCTGGGTTTCCTTAACAAACTCTCTTTTTTTTTTTTGGCTAGGCAGTGGGGTTAAGTGACTTGCCCAGGGTCACACAGCTAGTAAGTGTCAGATGTCTGAGGTCGAATTTGAACTCGGGTCCTCCTGACTCCGGGGCCCGGTCTCTATCTACTGCAGCGTCACCTGGCTGCCCCCTCCTTAACCAAACTCTTGACAGCCATCCCCTACTTCCCTGCTTCCACTTCCAGCTTCTCCTTAAGCTATTGTTTTACCAACGTTCTCTTTCTCCTTGTTCTCTTTCTCCTTCTTCTCGAGTCCTTCTACTGCTGTTTTCCTTCTTCTTGGGCCTTCCAACTTTGTCTGCTTTTCCTTTCCCTAATTCCTGCTGCTCCAATCCTTCTTCAGTTGACCTTCGATTTGTCCTTTCAACTGAGTAATTCGCAGATACTCTTAGTCATTTTCTCCTGCATCGCAAGCCTTCTGCTTTCCCTGAGATGTCTTCAAATCACTTTCATCATTCTTTTCCCTCTTTCAACAAGTCAACTAAAATCAACAAATATGTATCTATTAAATGACTTTTTTTTAAGGCAATTGTGGTTAAGTGACTTGCCCAGGGTCACACAGCTAGTAAGTGCCAAGTGTTTGGTCTGAGGCCAGATTTGAACTCAGGTCCTCCTGACTTCAGGGCCGGTGCTCTGTCCACTGCGCCACCTAGCTGCCCCTTAAATGACTTCTTCAATGCAAAGCATCACACTTTAACCTTAACATGACAGTCCTAGATGTGTTCATAGGGGGAGTACAAACGTCATTAAAGAGAACTAAAAGTGGAAAACCAGCCAGATTAGGCCAAGTGTACATCACGGACTTTCGCAATTTCGATGACGTTGAAGATTTGCTTTATAAGGCATCCAAGGAGGAGAAGATACTGAAGGCTTAGAAAAAGTCTGGAATCTTCTTGATACGGAAAAAAAGGCAACTGAGAGAATTCCTCAATGAT